CCAGCAAAGTTGATGTTTGATCAGGAACTTCGGTTGCCAGTGGATCTGTTAACAGGACGCCCACCTTATGAAGAGTTGCCTAAGAATGTGTCAGAGTTTGTGAAAGTGTTATCGGAAACGATGGATGATATTCACCATCAAGTGCGTTCAAACTTGAAAACGTCTGCTGATTCGATGAACTTATCTTATGATAAGAGATCTACTGAAGTCAGCTTTGTACCAGGAGACAAGGTGTGGTTGTATAATCCCAGGAAGCCCAAAGGGAAGTCTCTTAAGTTGTCTTCTCCATGGGAAGGCCCATATGACATAGTGGATCGTCTCTCAGACGTGACTTTCCAGATAAAATGTGGTTAGCGAGGTAAGCCAAAGGTGATAAATGCCAACAGGCTTTGGCATTCTCACGGTCCAGGACATTTCAGTTGGGATGAAGTGAACAATGGAACAAATGACACTGCTGAAGACGTGTCACCTGAAAAAGCCACTGTCGAAGAATAAACTCTACTCGGTTTGAGAAGGGAAACAGCGAAGCTCTTGGTGAAGTTACTACCACTGATGTAACTGTTACCAATGATAGGATGTTTCCTGATGAAGCAGATGAACCCCACATGAAGCAGAAGCCAACGAGATGGAGACCAGTACGGAAGAAGATACATCCCGTAAAATTAAGAGACTTTGTTGAATTTTAATTTTGTGTTTGTAAATTCTGTACATTCAATTAAGTTATTGTTTATTCGTTTAGTGTAAGTGGCTATTGTTCGGGACGAACAATACTAAGAAATGGGCAGTGTTACGACAGCAAGGGGGTAACGTGACGCTAGTAACATGTCATATTCTCGAAGGTTCATGAATGTTTGAGCGTTTACTAGATTTCGGTATTCTTGTACAAATAAGACGGTCAAGACGTGAGGGCAACAATTGGTAATTGAACTGTGGAAAGAGAGAGACTTATTGTTAAGCGAGCACGTGAGATGTTCGTTGTGAATTATAGCGTTTGTTATAGCGCGACTGTGGAAATTAAGTGTATTACAAAGTTGTATTCAGAAAGAATAAACCAGTTTTATTTAAGAAAGGACTTGTATCGCTAAAGTTTCATCGGAAAGAAATTATACGGAAAGTTAACTAACGAACAATATTTTAAACCACATGTATCATAAGTTAATAAATAAATTACATTATTTATTTTATGTAATGCATATTCTGATATAAATATTGATAATTGGTAGCAGGTGGACAAGTTAGATATTTTCAGCTATTACAAGTAAACTTTTGATATTGATGTAACATACTTAAATTCCTGGTAAATAGCTAACTTGGGTAAGAACCAGTAGACAAATAAATGTCAAAGAGAGGAGAAAGGGGCAATAAAACTACATCTTAACATCAATTTTATATAGGTGATAAAATCAGCACTATGTAATAATGAAGGAGATTTGGATAAAAACTTAAACCAAGATACTTAGTGTGAATTCACAACATTCCTTTACTAATAACATATTTCAACCTAAATTTCATAAATGACAATTTAAATAAAACACTTTAAAATCATACGATTTGTCAACAAAGCACAAAAAAGTATAATTTTTAAAAGAAAATGTCTGCAGTCATAACATCCAAAGGCATTGGGAATATTCCATCTACCAGACATAATAAACAAAAAAACAAATGAATAACAAAATAGCTGTCATGGAAGATCAGTTAGGGGTTAGGCATTGGGTGCTTTAACCCACAACATCCCAACACCTGCTACCATTTACTGTCTGCAGTCAGTTGTGAGTGTGGTAGTCATCCCTAAAAAGTTTAAGATTTTGAAAGTAATATCATAGTATAAATTACACAGTTAAGAGCCACCTGTAACTTTAGGAACTAATTTTTGCTGAAACTTGGCTAATTTGTACCTGTTTTTTTATGAAAATACTTTTTGAAACAAATAACAAATCTTATTTTATATGCTTTTATTTTCCGTTATATTGACGTTTTAATTTCTTTTAATAATTCAAATTTTGGTCCTACTCAAATTTATCTTAGATAACTAGTACTAAAAGAAGTAACAATAGTAATCATAGTGAACATTATTTAAATATAAGTAATATTTTCATAGAAAGCATCGTGCAGTTTGCCATTTTTGGTAAAAGATGATAATTTAACTTTTCCATCCTTGGTCTATCTACCCCAAATAGTGTAGCTGCATATATAATAGTAAAGGGAATGGTTCTTTTTTAACTAAAATTATATTTAACTCTGTAACAACATTACTTCATTTATAAGCATTGTTCAGTGTTTAGCAGATAAATCAAAAATAAATGATTATAAAGGTTCGGAAATATATTAAAGTTTTTAACATTTTATAATAAATGCTTTAAATGATTAAAATGTAAATTTTTTTACAAATGAAATGGGTACCTTTATTTTTATTCTGCAGTCATAAGAAGATGATAGTATTTCAAGGACATCTATATTCAATAAATACTAGTTTTTAATTTTATTTTGCTGTTTGAAAGATAATTTGTTCAGTGTATTGGACTAGAAGGGCCAACGTATGTAGTTGGGTTTGTCTCAGCTTGCCCGCATTATACTTGAATGAAGTTTTCTGAACTATTCAGATAAAAGGGTTTATAGTTCTTGCTTATTTGAAATAATTTTCTAAAGGGTGGAGGTTGGGTCTGTAACAAGGGTAGAAATTAAGGGTGGTTCTTAACAAAATTTCTACTATGGTATTATTTTTAAAATCTTAAATGTTTTAGGGGGTGATTGTCATGCAACTGGCTGTATGTTGGGGTGCTGTTGGTTAAAGCACACAACACTTAACACCTAATTGATCTCTTCATTCATTTGCATTTTTTGTATTATGGTAGATGGAATATCTCCAACTCTTTTGGGTGCTATCACTACAGAAATTTTTCTTTAAAAAATTATATCTTTTGTACTTTGTTCACAAATGGTATGAATTTTAATTGTTTTATTTAAATAATCATTTGTGAAATCTATAAAGTTGAAATTTGTTACAAGTAATTTTTTTTTGGAGGATATAGACTAAACTTGCTGATTTCGGTTTTATATATTATATAAAGTTATTAGTACAAGAAAGTAATAGTGTTTTCTTTGTTTCTTTGAAACTGATATAAAATGTTTGATACATTAAAAAAAATTTAGCACCCCCTAGTTTATGACAGTGTTGGGGCCTTAGTTGTTTTATCTAAAACTACACAGTTACTCAAATATTTTGTAACCAATCAGCAGAAATTGATAATCATAACTTATTTTATTTAGCTAAAGTAAAAACCTAGTATTTTTTGACATTCTTCAAGTAGTTTAAATTTAAAATAAAATAACATATAAGTTAGAATAATATAAAGGTATGGTACCAATTAATTTTTAAAAGTTACTTGTGTAACACTGTAACCAAATTTTCAGTATTTTTTTACATAATGATAAAGTATTTTGAATTAGTCAATGATGACCATATAAAGTAATAAAAAAGTGTCAAACAAAATTAAAATAATATTAATATATTCTGTTAATGATTATCTCAACCAGGTTATAATCCAGTGATTTAAAAAAAATAATAATTTATTTCTACTGATGTGAAAATAATAACAGTTAATAGCAAACATTTCAATTTTTTAAATTAAAATTAATTTATTATGATTACTTATAATTACATTTATAAATAAAATTAACACATCAGTAACCATCTAGCTTGTTTTCAAATTTTTCTTATACTTGCATTTTCACTTATCTTAAGCATTAACAATATGAAAAGAATTTTCACATAAGAATCCTAACTTCTAAATGATGAAAACTTGCTTCTGTAACAAGTATGCTATAAGAGCTGTAGGATTCTTAAAGAATACTAGATATGATGAAAACAAATCTCTAAAGACTGGGCACCTTGTTAGAGTGTGTGACAAAAGGCAAAGCATGAAAATATACCAGGCGATATTTAATTGACACTCATATTGTTGTATTAGTTTAGAAGTAATCAGTTTATTGGCTGAGGCCATAACTGGTTTACTGTAGGCTTCAGCTCTGTTGATTACAGAATACCTCAAAAAATCTTCTTTGGTAAATAAAATAAAACACCAACATCTAATTTTATTTTTAAATACTGTATGATAGTGTAAGGACATCTGGCTGTTTTTATTGATTTCTGAAAAAAAAAGGCTCAGGGAGCTTAACTTCCCGAACCTCCTTTCCTAGATCCAAAGCTACTTATACAACATTTAAAGAATACAGATATTAATCTCCCCCCCCCCCCAACAAAAATGTGGAGGTTTACAGACACCTTCTCCTAGACATATGCCTTTTTATACAAAAGTAACTAACGATGCAATTATTAATTTCTTTAAAAAAATTGTGAAGGGAGTTTCGGCCTTTTTGACCCCTCACTTAGATACCTGATACCTGTTTATATGATATTAAAGAACATAGTTATGCAATTAGAAATTAGAAATATAAGAAAAATTTACAAGTCAATACATTTACACTTTATTTAACACTTAAGTAGCCAAAGAGGTAGTGGTGGATGCAGTTCAAAATTAGTGACCATGGCAGATAGCCTTAGTAGTTTACAATAACATAGACAGTGAGAACAAGTTTAGTGGCAATGGGAATTTATTCAGAGACCCTTAAATCATGAGGCACCCCTCCCTTTATGTAGCTTTGAGCTTAACAACAATCATACATAATGGCAATATTTTGATTACTTGAATAATTGGAATAATCAAAAACAGTAAATAATTGGAAAACCTAATTTCAATTAATTTATTATTTTCTAACATTCAATTTAATCATAATTTTGGTTAATCATTTAGATACAGACAGATACAATCACTTCCCATGGTGAATCAATTCAATTACCCAGCTGTAGTTATAACGTTGTTAAATTTCAAATACATTTTTATTTTTGGATATGAATATTTTATTTTGTATAAGTGTTGTTGAAATGTGGAACATATTATTTTCTAGTTCTAGTAAAAATTAACATTTTTCTGTTTTCACAGAAAACATGCACTCATGGAAAGGGACCAACTCTGGAGTTATAAATCTTCACAAAAATCTTCAAGAAATTGTGATAGTCCAGCTAGTCTTTCAGTTTGTTCATATTCTAGCCACCAGAGTGTTCTCAGTGTGAGTTCAGCAGGAAAAAGCCACCACAAAGACAAAAAGGACGAGCTCACTAGCAGATACAAGCTGAAAGTAAAGCCATTGCATTACAATAATGATGTGGCAGAAACTTTCATACCCCATTCTTCCAATAAAGAAATAGAAAATAGAGTGAAAATGAATGATAATGAAAAATATACTAGTTGCAGAGATATAGAGAAACACAGAAGCAAAAAGAACTTGAGCTCCGTGGCCAGTAAAAAATGTAAAAGTAATTTTACGAAAGAAAGCAGTCACAAGTCACATAGTGAGGTAAGGTCAAACGGAACTGAGAAAAATGTAGCATTATTCTTTTTGGTTAAATCATTGTTAACTTATATTTTTTAAATAACTTTTATATTAGATGAAAGAAGCAATCTTTCACTTACAATCTATGTTTTGTTTTTAATATAAAGAACACACAGAGAGTGTTGTAAATTGATTATAACTCTATTTTACTAATTTGGTGACTTAAACCTCTTGTTAAATTACTCATTTCTTTTTAATCTACTGATAACATTACATTCTCATAGTTGTAACTAATAATTCCATTATAATACCTTATGTCTTCTTACATAATAGCTTTTTTTGTTCAGTGCTGCTGCTAGCCTTGATATTCTCATCTACCCCCACATATTTAAACATGGTACAGCTGCACTGTAGCATGCAAGTAAGCATGCGACAGCCCTTTACCAATAGAAGTGTGACATACCTTCCTGGGGCAGTTTCCAGCTTATTATTTTTTCTTATCTACATTAACTTGATACTGTAGGTTGATCTGAAAATTTCCACTCTCAGTTGGAATTATGAATTCACAGTTTCAAGTTACAACTACTATTGTTGTTACTACTGCCACTAAACACCAACCTGCAGTTTCACAGGCATTAGGCTCCACCCTTTCGGCTGAGAGGTTTTTGGTGTTGGTTTGGCAAGAGTTGGAGTCAGTCTTGTGACCTGCTGTGTCTCCTGATCCAACACCAGACAGACCATTTCCCAGGGAACTTTGTCAGGATGATAAGGATTTGAATAGCCTGTTCACACCTCCTTCCTTTGCCCTGCAATTTTGGTTTACACCTGTGGATGCTCCCAGACCTTTTTTTGCCTTCCTCAGTATGGTGTCCCAGGTATATTTTGTATGTATCCCCTGCATTTTCTGATTCCTCTCCTTCCCTCTTGCATGCTGACCCTTCTTTGAATTACCTCACTTTCCTACCCTCTTTAAGTGTCAAAGTCTTGCTGGTCAGTTTACAGCACAGTTACATTCTGGGATCAGCATATGCAACATGACTCTTCCCCTTCATGCCTCTGATTCCTATTCTTTATCGTATTATCATTTGGAATTTCCTTTTCTAGATTCACAGAACATAGGGTCCTTGATCCATATGTGGAGATCTGACCCTGATACTACTGCCCAATTTTCCTATCTTTGTTTCACCATTACCACCCTCTTGCCTTACCTCTCCTCTATTCATTTCCTAACCAAGGCTATCCACTGTTCCCCTGAAAGATTTTCAGTGGTTACTCCCTCACTCCTGTTTTCCCTGTTGGCGCAGTTGTCTTCCTTTGCTCTTTCCCTACAAACTTGGATCCTCTGTTGTTGGGATCTCCTGGGTAGGGATGCACATTTTGCTCATGTATGCATGTCCACTTCTTATTTGTATGACCTTTGTATGGCTCCATTTTAATGTTAGTCAGTCTTTGGAGATGATCTTTCTGACTCATTGGAGTCCAGGGTGGAGGCTGCTCATCAGCACTCCTCCCTTTCATACTTGATCTCTTGTCTTTCATAACTTTTTCCTGCTCCTGTTACTATATCTTGCCCTCCTCCTTCCTCCCCTTTGCCTGTCCCTTTCTTGCAGGTCTTGGTGACTAGCCATCAGATTGCTCATTACCAAGTCTATGGCTGCCAATGGAATCAGTGGTTTTGGCATGGTTGGGGTATGTTTGGCCTGTTTATTCACCTGAGGACCACTTTCACCACAGATCCTTTGGTGCTTCAAGTGTTATCTGAAGGACTCTACCTTTGTTTTCTAACTCCACCTACATTATCCCTACATCCAGTTCCCTTCTCTCCTCTTCTAGATCCAGCTTCCTGCCAGCATCTGTTCGAAGCAGTTCAAGATCTTTTTCACAAGTACACTATCAAACATGTCAGTCACTCTTTGCCAGGGTTCTATTCTTGGTTGTTCATAGTTCCCAAGAAGACAGGGGATTGACTTTTTGTCATAGATCTCTCCATTTTGAACTGTTTCATTGACCTTCCTTGTTTCACCATGGAGTCTTCCCTCACTTTTCAGCGGGCATTTACCCCATGTCTTTGGATGACAAAGGTAAACATCTTGGATGCTTACTTTCACATCCCTATTTCTCCGACAATAAAGGTTACTTTTATTTTGTTCAGAAAGGCCAAGTACATCATGAGTTGTGGAATAAGTTTAACCCACTTAGATTTAGCCGTGCAGTCATGAGACACCCCATATGGCCATCAGATTCATTCAGAACTCTATGTACCTATCCTCATATGTGAGTAGTCTAGGCAGGTCACTTAACTGTTTTGATTACTTTAAATGTACAGCAGTGCCTTTACATTTTATAAATTTTGTGCATTCAAAATTCCACAACCAAAAAAATGTTTCATAAGTTAAGCATGAGTTTTTCCTTTAGTATCTTTCTTATGAAATGTGTTCTTCATTTGAAGGTTTCTCCTCATTAAGTTTGAATCGTGATTTTACTAAATGCTTAAAATACGTATTGAGTCAGCAAGTTTGAAATGCAGTTTTAATTTTAAAATTCAACCTTGACCACATTGTAGTGGAGAATTTTTGTAAACAGAACAATGAAATGGATTTCTATGTAGATGAAATTCTGATTATGGTTATATGCAAACACACAGTTATGCTTTATACCACATATATCAATATTTAAAACTCTCTGAGTTTTGTGTCATTTATTGAATTGTCTTCTGACAGAGTTACAAGACCAGAAGATATGCTAGATTAACTTGGGGACTTGTTTAGGATTTCTAAGGAAATTATAGCTATACAGATGCTCTGTAAAAATGTGTAATAGATGTGAACATAAAAGTAAAAAAATATTTTATACTAGCTGGAATACCCATCCCCTGAATGGAAGTTATGTAAATTCGTGATTAATGAAAGGTTATCTTAAGACATGAAAAGTTGCTTCCCTTATATGTACTTGTAAAAAATGCCCATAAAAACTGCAAAACACAAAATGTGAAGTTGCAAGTTTGCATATATCTCTGCATGGACCCAAGAAACCTTCTTGCCAAATTTGGCGAAGATCCATCAACATGGGGCGAGGTAGTGGTAAAAAATACAAAAATGCCCATAAAAACTGCAAAATGTAAAACTGAAAATTTGTATGTATCCCCCCTTTGGACCCAACAAATCTTCATGCCACATTTGGTGAAGCTGGATCCACAGGGGTAAAGCAGTGGTAAAAAACACAAAACTGCCATAAAAAGCACAAAATGCAAAACTGAAGATTTTTATGTACCCCAGCATAGACCTGATGAACCTCCATACCAATTTTGGTGAAGATCTACTCACACCCAGCGAAGTAGTTACATGAACAGACAACAGACAGTACTATTATATTTATATAGATACACTTATACATAGTAGGTAAAAAAAAAAAGACCTTAAGATTTTCTCACAGAAACATAAGCTGAACAATAAACCACCTTTATAATACTTTACATATCAGATAACTTTAGAGGTACAGCTTAACTTCCAAGTTAAAATGTAAAAAAAACTTTGTGAAGCTGTTTGAGAATTAAACAGATATCTTTGATAATCGATAGAAAAATAGGCAGTGTAGTTTCTTATGTATGCTGCTTAAAAATAAAAAGAGACATATTCTAGTGCATGTAACATATGAAAAGTTATGATTCAGATTCATACTTTTCTGTTAGAATATGGTATTGATGTGACTAACAAAATTCCAAGGTGTCCACTAACAAATTGAGAAAACTAAAGATGTATTTGTTAACTAAGACGAAGCAATCATAAATTACTTTTATTTAGCTCCAGTAGGTAATACATTTGAAAAAGTTATACAAATTTTGCTAGATTAAATAATGGAGTAAATTTGTTTTTGCTAAAAGGACTGATTGCTGTAATCAAAATTACAAGTATGTCAGTGGTGTTGATTGTATTATTGTGGAAAAATATTCAACTTTCTGTTTCTTATGCTGTTCTGTGAATATAATAATTTTTAAATGGCAGTGATTAGTGTATTGAAAACCAGTACTCCAGAAATTAAAGAACTATTGGAGGAAAATCAAAATGTTATACTGATGATAAATTGAAATTCATAAATTAGCAAACAAATAAATTTCAGAAATTAAAATCCATTTCATTTGTATGCTACATAAGGTTGTTCCTGATCAGTGTTAGCAATTTGCATACTTAGGTACATTGTCCCCCGTCCTTCCTCATGCTTTGTGACTATAGAGTTGAAAGTTCTGGCCTTGTAGGAATTCAAGTGAAGTGTGATGATGTGCAAGTGTGTGTAATACCTAAAAGTAACCCTTTCTGAGAAAATTGCCCTATAGATGTAAGGATCTATTGCACAGTTGTTAAAGCATGCAAGGCATGATACTTTAACATTCTTTAATGATGAATTGTATCAGCATGTTTATTATATTTTGTATGTGTTTAATTAAATTTTGTTTTGCATTTTCAGCATAGGTTTTGTTTTAGATTGGAATGTTTTTGAAGCAATAGTTTAATGGGAAAAATTAAAAGGACATTAAGTTCATGAATTGATCATTGTAATGGGGGAGGGAGGACTCTTCTCTTTGCAGGAACTGTTTTCACTATTTCTGTGAGATGTAAGGTATTACTTTAAGTAGTGCTGTGGCATATACATTTCTATTTTAAGTACTTTTTAAGCTGCAACACTGTTTCTTGATTAGTATTCACAGTTTTTAATTATTTAGCATTAACTACCTTTTAAGTAATCTTTCATTGAGTGAAACTGTGGCAATTAGAATTTGTAGTTATTTTATTGAAGTGAGAACTGTGATATCCATTTTTTTTCATAGCACATTGTGAACATTATAAATACATACCACATTTTTGTAAACAGAGAACCTTGAGCAGCTGCAAGGAGATGTGTTCAGCTGATCAAGAGGAGGGTGGTGAGAGCAGCCATATTAGAAACATCCAGTCTTTAGAACATAATAATAATAAAGGACAAGATTGGCCACTGTTTAAACATAAGCTTTATTTGGATCATCACATGAAGTAAGTTAAGGGTTTTATAAAAAAAAAACTGTTTAATAATGAAGAGAGACTTGTTTGTAAAAACTATATTTAACTTGTGTAATATACATTAAAATTTGCATAGTCCTCATTGTTTTTATATACATCTACATATATTACCACAAGATTGATTTTCTAGAATAGTAAACATCAGTAATGTTGCCACTTTCAGTTTTAAAAGATAAAACAAGTATTGTAGAAGTTTTTAATTATTTCTATTACTTGTAAATAAATTGTAGTAACAAAGACATGGACTGATTGTAACATATCCATGGAATGTTTTGACTGGTCTTCATACAAAGTGTCCCAACCATCTTTAACTAACAACCAGTTACTGCTTGTTTAGAATAACATCCAGTCAAGTGCCCATGTTGTTAAACCCTTAGCAATTGGCACAGCATTGAGTTAGAGGGAGGAAATCATGAATGGACACTTATTAATGAATCTAGTCCTCCACAGTGAAATATATTTGATACTCTTGGTTTAAAGTAAGTTTGATTAGTCTTGTATTTTTGCTTTAAAGGATTGATTTCTCAAATCAATGCTACATATAAAAAAAGTTCATATACAGAATGCAATCATAGCATTATTTTTCTCTGTACTTTGTTCCATAAATGTTTCACAAATGACAGCTTGAATTACATTTCTTCAGATATAACAGACTGTGTTAAAAAAAAAAAGTTTCTTTCCAGAGTATTTGGACAGAAGAAACTTGCTACCTCAAAGTAAAGTAAAAAATTATTAATTAATATACATACATATATATTTTGAAATATATCAGCATGATTGATACTACTTATTGAAAAGAATAGTAACCATGCTTTTGGAAGTAGGTATTTTTGGAATCTTTAGTAAGCTTGTTGTGGACCAGATATAAAGAATGTTAACGTATAGGAATATGTGTTATTTATCGATAACAACAAAACCCATATTGACACAATTTCATTCTTTCCCAATTTACTGCTTTATTGCAAAAAGTTTGTCATCATTGGCTAGTAGACTTTATTTCATGAAAATAATTTTATAAATTGTTTTTCACTTTTGTCCAAAAAGAAATTAATAACTTTTTATTTTAGAAGTTTTTCTTCAGATAACTACTTGAATGAAGCAAAAGAAATGAAACGCCAGGCAGACAGAGAGGTAGAACCTTTTGTTTTTTGCTTTTGATGTCTTACTATAAAGGTTATTGTAAACTTAAAAAGTTTCATAACGTTATGATTTTGATTTAAAAATGAATAAAGAAATAAAGTTTAGATCAGACTTAAGAATTATAAAATATTCAATGTATAATAGGTTGAGAAATGACATGGCATAATACAAGTATCACAATACCACGTGAAAATTTTGTTGTTGTTTTATCAGTCCAACTTTTCAGACAGAACACACTTCTCTGTGTATACTAAATACTCAAAAACCAGAATAAACTAAAAATTTGATTCTGTTATACTATATAATAATACTACATATAGTAGAGTATAAGTATGGAGAAGAGGAAGAAAGACAAGTTTGAACAGTTGAGAACAAGAATAGGTTAAAATGGTGACATTATAAATGAATAATCACAAATAAATGTATTACATTAGATTGTATAAAAATGTGTAAAATTAAAAATGATATCAATATTAGCAGGTAATTTTAATTGGAATAGTTAAATAATTCAGCAATATATAGACAGTTGGCTTAAACACACACTGACAGTATTTTACAATTTTAAAAAGTATTAAAAATAATAAGAAGAAATAAACAGTAAGTTTATCTGGGGTGGATTAATTTTAGATCTTGAATTTTATACTTGTGTACAGAAAATTTTAATAATTAAAAAACTATCAGATAAATATGCTTATGACAGTGAAAAATACAAGTAAATCTTAATGTTTAAAGTAATTAAAAGCAAGGGTTATTTTACAAAAAGATCACATAAGCAGCAGGTTAAAAAAAGTGTGTTAAGTGATTGAAAATTTATCATTGATGTTAGACGGCCAAGTGGCTGAACACAAGATTATACATTAATCTAGTGTAATGCGTATATTTATAATAACCATATTTTACTTTACTGTTGTATTCAGTGGTTATAACTTGTCTTTATTCATTTTCTTCAAATTTGCATTCTGGTATTCTTGGTATTGTTGTATAGTATAATGGAATCAAAGTTTTAGTTATTTTCGGTTTTTGAGGTTTTAATGTACCCAAGGAAGGATGTTCTGCCCTGAACATTGTGCTAATAAAAATATATGTTTTTATTTGATATTAATATTACAACATTTGATTTATTCTCTGCCATTTCCTACCACAACAGTTTTCCAAATTTTATAATGGGTTGCATTTTGTACATTTACATATGAAATAACTTAATATCATGTATAGCAGTTTTTTATTGTCTCATTATAGCACCTTGAATGCTAAGTAAAGGTACTGTGTGTATATGTTATGAATAAAACAGGTTGATTGTTTAATACAGATTTACAATGTAATTGTTTCTTTTCATCACAATGTCACCAACATGATTGAAGACTAGGTATTTATCACAGAGCCATATTGGAAACTTTTGTTTCAGGTGGACAGAACTGTTCAAGCAATGAAGTACCTGGAGGCTGTCTTGTACTTCACACTTACAGGCAATGCAATGGAGCACAATCATGTAGACAATGACAAAGTATACACAATGTACAAAGAAACTTTAGGTTTAATTAGGTATGTATGTTAGTGTTTAATTTATGTAATGCTAACTGAAGTATAGAAGGCGTAATAAACAGTGAAGGAGATGCAGTAAACAGTATGGTAAGAGTTTTTATACTTATTCAGCATTTTACTTTACAATTTCTTTTGGGAGTGCTCTTTATAAAATCTTAAGTTTAGTCAATAATACTAAACTTATACTGGTTTAACTATTTGGATATTGCCAAATAATTCAACTTTTTCACCAGTGAGTGGGTTACATATTGTTGAACATTACATTGTCGTTGCATTATTAAGAAAGTGTGGTTAAAAAACTGATGTGTGGTTATTGATACAGAAGAATTTAGAAGGAAAAATGAAAATGTTCATACAGACTGTTATCAGAATTTGTAATCCATACATATATTAGTTGTACAGTTGGGCTTCTTAAATTGAGAAGGATTACTGGAAACATGTCAGTTGGTTTTTCAGAGTCTGACCAGCTGGTCCAGATCTCTTTATTGTTTCTTTTATGTTTTCTGGAAATGTTGTTGTCATCAATGAAGTGTACTGTAAAAGTTGCCTTATTCTGTATGGAGTTTAAATCCAAGTGTTTAGTTCTTTTTTGAACTGTTTTACTATTTTTTGGAGAAGTGAAACATGGTTGTTCTCCCTGCACTCTTCATAAAGGTGTTCTAGATACAACCATGAGCATTTATGAGTTAATTATACCCTGTTGAGGATGTCTGATACTGGCACTCAGTTAACCCTAGCCACAATTGTCTAGGTGATTGACCTTGAGGGAGCCATTCCAAGGCCTCTTGTCTGCAGGAATTCAAGGCTGATGTAGTATGTTGAAGTGACCAAGGTACCATTCAATCACTAGAGTTTTTTTCTCCCTTAGGTTGCCATGCATGGCAAACATGTGGGTGGTTGTTTAGATCCCAGGGAATGTAAACTGTACAAGTAGAATCATTTCTTGGAGGTCTCCTCATCTCGTACAATCATTCAAATTGATGGTTTGTATAAAGCATTCCTGAAGAAACCAGAAAGCAAAACATTGAGTAAATTTACAAAAACATATTTCTGAAGTTCTATGGTAATTTCATAATGGTATATATATTATTTATGATTTTAGCAAATTTGTAAAGTGATCTTACATTCACAAATACAACAAATTGTGGTGTAGGTAAACCAGTTTTTGTATCACAGATTTTAATTTGGGATTAATGCAGATACTTAATAAGCTGCTGAATAAAAGTATTGATAATATAAATACTAAAATAATAGTTTTATGTTTGAATTACCTTTTATTATTATTCTGATATAAAAGAGAATTTAGATTTAGTGAACAAATAGTGAGTTTATGAAAAGACTATTTTGTATTTATTTTGATGAGAAAATATAATTAACAAGCTTAAGGATTATATTTGATGATGGGAAATATCAAGATTATGTCTCATCATGTTCCCTTTGTAGGCTAGCTTTAATTGTTAATATTAGTGACAATGGCATATAGAATATTATGAAATTAAAAGTTGTTTTAATTGTATACTGTTTTTGAAAGGTATTGAAATAATTATGAGAAAGAAAACATATAGATAGACTAGGCTGAGATATATTCTTAAAGTGTTTGTTGTTGTTAATTGGAGGGTTTATGGTGCAACTCTGAGAAGCAGAAAATGTTGGTAAGTATGATTAATATGTATTAATTATTACTGATTTGTTCTTTTAAATTTTCTGCAAGGAAAATTAAGAAACTTATCATTTTCTTTCCAATAATTTTGTATTCTTACTGAAATTTTTCTAGGCATATTTCTTCCAATTTTCAAAACAGTGAGCACACTTTTAGCTCTGGAAATATTGACAGAAGATTAGCGGTGTTAAGGTAGGATTTTTATGTTGTGTTTTAGTAAAAGAGAATTAGTTGTGTTTTAGTAAAAGAGAATTAGTTGTGTTTTGCTAACAAAAAATAATTGATTATGTTTTGCTAATAGTAAGAAATAATTAATTTATCAAAATGGTTAAATTGTAAACCAAATCTCTAGAATTTAGAAATTGAGAATGTACATAGTAGTAGTAGTAGTAGTGTGACATACAAAATCACCAAAGACATGGTTAAAATGAAAACATCTAACTACTTAATACTGCTTTATTTATTTTCTATTTGTAAATGATTTATAAATAGCAGTTTGTTTGTAAGTTATTATGGCTCATAATTGTTTGAAAAAATTTATATTTGTGAAGAGAACAGAAAACAAATATTCTGTTATTTCAAATCCATTCTTATGTAAAGTGAGTGAAATAAGTTTGGTTAACTGATTTTTCAGTGAAAATGGAAGGAAATGTGTATTATATTGCTATATAAGAAATGATTATTAAATAACTGATTATATACTGATTTGTAAGTGTACATTTGAAGATTAAAGTGTATTGTAGTTAACCGTGTCCAGAAATGATATTCTATGTGAAAAGATACTGCTTTATAAGATATTGTCTTGTTTGGTGATGAAAAAATGACATTTTGCCATACTAATTAATTTTTATGCTGTTGTTCCCAGTCTTAGGTGCCAGTCTCTGCTTTACTTAAAACTTTATCGTCTTCAAAGATTTGAAGTCAGGGAGCTACACAAATCATTAAGTGAATTTCAGAAGGTGAGGTTTATGGTAATTTACAACAATTTTCACTAATCTACTCAAAAATTTAAAACGTTTATTTAACTCTAAATTCACAACTTAATAAAGCCAAAAACCCTGGCATTTGGTTTTAATTTTTATTCATTGAATCTAGTAGTATAGATTTTTCACTTTTACTTGTTGTATATTTTAGACTTGTATCTAAAGTGTCCAAAAGCAGCTCAGACAATGAAACTAATTTTGATATGACTTCCAAATTGGTTGTCAGTGGTGACCTATTTTGATTAAGGTCATCAACTATTTTTGGTGTCAACTTTCCCATAAACTTGAATATTTTACAGCATACAATAACCAGAAGTATTTGAATAAAAGCTTAAAAGATAAAGTACACGAGATGACCTGTACAAAAATTTATAGTAAAGGGAACCATAAATGAGCTTCATTAACATCTGAATCACCAGCTTCACAATACTAGACAACAACAGCTTTTGTTTTTAAACAAGTTGTCATTGTATTTTTGCTTTTAGACAAGTTGTTCTTATATATTTTATAAACTATCTTAGCCCTCTTTTTCTCTTGATAACTTTCTTTCAATGGATATTCCACAGCGACTTAATTTATTTTGCTTGAAATACATTTTCACTTTGAGAGGAAGCATAGGTTTACTTGTTTGTTTATTTTAGAGCAAATCCACATTGGGCTATTTTCCATGTTCACCATGGAGAATAGAACCCCAGATTTAGTGTTGTAAGTCCATAGACTTACTGCTGTCCCACCAGCGGACAGGAGGAATAAGATCATCTAATGTTTCCACTATGTCCTACATTTATTTTCTTTGGTTTAAAACAGGAAATAAAAAAAGTAATTTACTTTTGGTCAGAAAATGGAAAATATTGGACACTGGACCTGCTCAAGTTGTAAATTTAGAGTTAAAAAATATTCTTGTTGGCTTTTATTGATTTTAGTCAAGCTGATAAGAATGATTTATAAAATAGATAAAGGAATGTTTTAAAGAAAAGTTCTATGTTTACACTAAAGTTTCCTGACAAATAGAATCATTAATATAGATAATATGCTATATTTAATATACAAATAATCAGAAAAGTATAAAAAAATGATATTTCCCAAAGGCAGAAAATTCTTTTGTATAAATGTGTTGGAATGTAATTAGGATATTTTTCTAAATAAACTTGTAGTTGAGGTAATAGGAATACAGTTGGAGAAATTAAAATAACTTAAAGGTTTGAGGTATGAAAACTGGAATAAATATTTTAGTGTTTTGTCATTTGATGTTATTTTTTGTATATTTTGACAGTCTTCTGTTAGCCAGATGGCTTCTTATCCTTCTCCATGCCACCACAGAAACTGTGGAGGGCCAGGTCCAAATGGTGTTCCTTCGCCACACTCACCTACACCCTCACCAGCAGGATCTCAGAGTAGTGGGTACAGTAGTAGTGAGTTGACTGGGTGCTGTAATACCCTGCAGTCTAGGAAAGGCTATAGCAATTTTTACACATTAGCCCCAAGCCACTTGCCAAGCACACATCATCAGATTGTTGGAATCCCTCAGAATATTTACAATAATTTGCTGAAGCAAAATACCCTCCTTACTAACCTTCATTTGTGTGTGGATCTATGGGAGCAAGCAGATTGCCTGATTGAACACAGTGGCTCAAGAGGTATGTGTTCATCTTTTAGCTAATGTAGTGTGTTATAGGTGGGTGTTGATGTTTAAAACTTGCAGTTTATAAAAATATTTAGAATGATAATTAGAAGTGTAGAATGTCTTATAATTTATTTATCTGTATATGTATAAATCAGAGTTGTTGATTTGTTTGATGTCAGTAGTTGTTGTGAGGAACAGGCTGAACCAATTTCAGTAAAATGTGGTAGAGGAACTCAAGTGGACCCTTCTGAAGATAGAGTTTAAATGAATAAGCAGTTAGATGTATGATTTGAATTTTTTAGGTATTTAAATTTTACTATCTTAACCCAAACTGAGCAAATTAGTAGATACCAAAATATGTGAAACCTACATCAAACAAAAGTGATGCTTATATCATATGCTACATGGAGCACAGACAAATGGTTAATGTGCTGTGGTCTAAAGTAATGGAAAGGGAAGGCCCACACCCTTATTTATAACTATATTTTAGCTGGCATTGTCAGTTAGTTTTGTTAGTAACTAGTAATTCAACTAGTATCTGCTTGTTTGTTAAGTTCCAGTATAAATTCTTTCCAAGGAACTTCAGCAATACAAGTCCTTTCTTAATTAAAACTAGTTTATTCTTTCTCGATACAACTTTTTAGTACACAGAATTTCCACAGTCACTTTAAACTTAACAACCTTTATAACACATGCTATAAATCACAGTGATTCACTCACTTTAGTTACGGTACCTACTGTTCGCTTGACTCAATTATCTATCTCTTCAGTCTATCTGCATAACTATCTATCTATGCAATCGCACTGGTTTTTTCTTGCCAGGCTTATATACTAAAAAAAGAAGGCACCTCGAACAAACTCGAGCCTCCCCGATAATTCATGATCCTTCCAGAAACTCCAGCACGCATTCTCCCAGCATTACGCGACTTCCTCTGTCGTAACAATATATTTCTAACCACAGAATATTAAAGAATATTAATGTGTTTAACTCTACATGTATTAGATCACAAACTTTTATCTGAGTGTTTAAATTAATAAATTTGTTTTTCTGATTATACCAAGTATCTTTACAAGAAAATGCTCTGATTTATAAGAAACTTATTTTTTTGAGAACAGGCCTCTCAGTTGGCCATTGTACAAAATAAAGGTTTTTCAAAAGCTTCTTTTTCAAAAAATATAGAGCGAATTTGGTTTCATAAACCAATATATATATATATATATATATATATAAATGATTAATGTTTGATTAATGATAAATGTGAATTGAAGTCTTTACTCTTCTGTAAACTTTCCATGAAGAAATAAATCCATTACATTTTATGTGATGACAGAGTTTTACCATTAAGTTCTGATAAAGAAGTCTGGATTATTCCCACACATCTAAAATGCTACAAAATTCTTATGTTTCCACAGATATATATTGGATAATTATAGTAATATTATGACTGCATTATTGAACATTTTGTGGCAATGTTTTTGGTTAATAATGTAGGTTTACATTCAAATATGTAGGTTTTTGAAGGATTTTTTGGCTACTATGAATAAAAATAAAAGGAATGAAGATGAAGGTTTTTATAGTATTTAAAAATTTTACTGGGAGGCCTGTTACAAGTGCTGGAACTGGTTCAGTTACTTTAGAACACAATTTGGCATGACAAATTATATTTCCTGCTCTGTTATTACAATACAGTCTGTAATAATTTCACTTTAAAATCCCCATTATAACTGTTGGTTACCACAGTTCTATACAGAGCTCTAAATAATTGTCTCTTTTTCGTCAAAGTCCACACAAGCTGGTTCAATTACTTTAGAACACAATTGGCAAGATGAATTATTCTTCTCAACTTTGTTATTATAATACAATCTGTGATAATTTCACGTAAAAACTGCCACTATGCACTTTTTATGCCTAAATATACAGTCACTCAGTTTAGATCTATCTTTATATATATATCGAACTACATTTTGGATGATTATTTATAGCCCAACAGAGGCCTAGTACATTCCACACTCTACAAGATATTACAATGCAATAATGTAACAATCACCAATTTACAACAACTGAACTGTACAATGTATGATTTGTAAGCAGTTATGTGAACAAACTTGCAATAAACTATTGCTTCTAAAAACAACTAAATTTAACACTTGTGCTATACTTAGACAGAAACAGTTATGTTAATCTAACATGAAGTAAAGTAAAAATATCTAGATAAATAAATATTACATATAGAATTTTTTTTTTCAAAAGGAAATAAATAAAATTTAAAAAAAAAACTATGATCAATTAAAACTAAAATAATGCTGTTGCTGAATGTCATAATGATTGCAAGATAGCAAGATGTAGGCAATTGGTAACAAAACTGATTGCACATTGGCAGATTGTTCCATTGTAGGAGAAGGTGATGGGTCAAAAGAATATGAACAATGCAGAGCCTTGTCAGGACAACTTTCTCTCTCTGACATTTTAATTTATCTTTTATTATTTTTTATCTGAGTTTTTCTGGTTATGTCTTGTGGAACAATAGTCGCTCAAACATTTTATCTCTCGGATTGCTTTACAAATTAGGTGGCAAACCAGTTATCGTAAGTTTGATCTGGAAAACTGTTCAGACATTGTTTACCTCAAATTACCTGCCAACTGGCATGAAGCATTCTTCTGATGACAGGCTTGAAGTCCATATATGGACAAGGCCAAGATTCGCTGTTATTAGTGAAGGCCAATTTGGCCATGATGTCAGCAAGCTTGTTCCCTTAATTACTTATGTGGCTAGAATTCCCTAAAAAAAAGATAGGAAAAAATGGTGATGGCAGATGCATTTGTTTCTGAATATTTAATAGAAATGGATGATAACTGACACTAAACTATTCTTGGGCTGTCTTTGAATTAAGAGAATCATTATAGATAATACAATTAGTGTACTCGTTAACTTATGTGAGTGAAATAGCATAAAACTGAGTAGTTTTAACATAAGTTCTCCAGAGACGATTCTGCGAGCAAAAGCTGAGTTGCAGCAAACCATGGTAGTACCACAGAATCGCATGAATTCCTGCCATCCATAGAAATTAGTATGGAAGAATGGTTCAAGAGATGTGTTTATTAAAGAAAAGCCATTACTTTCACCTAGGAGTATCCCACTTCTTAAAGTAATTCAGTGAAAATGTTGCCGTGGGACATGGTGGTAAACATGGACATAGGAGCTGATCATCAGATTCAGCAATGTCATTTAGTGTCAGACCTATCTCATTTAACTTTGCCTGAATATAAAGGCCAAAAATAGAGTGAACAGACCTTCTATTTGCACAAAGCATTGCTTACTGCTAAGAAAGTTATGTACATCAATTGTGAAGTTGAAGTTCGTAGGACTATGTGTACAGACTGGATTGGAGAAGTGCATAAAACTCCTGTGCAGATCCAAAGCTTATGATGGTGTACAGGGTCCAACATCTTTAATGCAGAGTCCCTGTCTGAAGCTTAAACCAGAAACCCATGGTTAAGCTTAGATTGAATAAGGGCACAATAGATATTCAGCACAGAACATATACCTGCTCCCCAAGATGTATAAGAGGTTATGTGCATTATGAGTGAGATAAAACCTATCGGAGAGAAACCCCACAAACTTTGCCTCAGCCACCACAGCAATTTGTACATAACCCTGATGAAGCTTGGGATCAGGGTACAATCCCCACTTGTTGCAGAAGTCTGCACAAACAGTTGTGGATGACAAGTAATTTAGAACCATTTGCAGTGGTTCACATGATGTATTGAGAACACTTTGTAGCTGTTACTCAACATATGCCTTGAAACTGGTGGTAAAAGATAAACTTGAAGTGACTTTAATTTTAAATTTCTTATGGCTTTGACATTTGATCTTCTGAGCATATGTACAAGCCTTCTTAAAGGCTATGTTGTTTGTAAAAGTGGGATGCCTGTGAAAGATATCCCAGGGCTCCTTTCTGAGCCCTATTACACTGTGGTAGTCAGATGTCCACCTTGGACAAATATACTATGAAAAATGTGTCGAGGTAAGGCCAACTAACTGGACTGCGCAGTTACTTACTGCATCCATACAGTTATTTAAATGATGGGAGGTTAACAATGGCAGGTTTAAGCTCTGAGAGAGTGTTGGAGGAAGGCCATTTGGCCTTTTCCAGCCTACACTGGGGAATGCAACTCAGATGGCAACAACCTCCCTTAGAATGATGGGAAAATTATCACTGCTTCGTGGATTATTTTCTACCTTCATAAAAGAAGGGGAAGGAGAGAAGATGAATAAGTGAATAAAACAATAGAAGTGCCTGACTTGGGGTATGAAAAAAAGTGGAAATACCAGTATTGAAGGAGGAGGGATTTATGATAATAGAGAAGAAGTTTGATAGACCTACTTCTACCAACAGTATTTCATTAATCCTCCGTGGATTATGTACATTTAAAATGTCCTAAAATGAAAAAGGAAGATGACAGGTACAACACTACATAAACCTGATCAACTTAACTCTGTGTGACAAGTAGAGAGCATATTGTAATGGTTTGACCACTTGAGGCATGGAGGAAGTATGATGGCTGACCAGCAATGTTACTTCCCCGTGGACGTGACTGTCACATATAATGTTTTTGTGCTTTAAAAAAATTGCCAAATGATGATGGTACTCACAGGTTTCCTGTAAGTAGATAAAAATATGAAGGAAAAAGTCAATGAGAGCCTTGATATTCTCTATGTTAGAATGAAAGTCATGACAGTTCCACTAAATAAAAGTGCCAATTTTCACTATGAGCCCTAACCCTCAGAGGGGAGCCTTTAGGAAGTTTATCCTTTAAGTTTCCCTTTTTATTTTTGATTTTTGGAAATCAATTGACCTTCATGGACTCCGTCCGTGTTGCAATGAGCATTGCAACTTCACCTGGTGGTCCATAGAACAAAAATTAGATTTTACAACAGTTTTGTACTTTGGAGACAAATGTACTGGAGCCAAATGCTCTGAAACAGAGGTTGAAGTTCCTGCTGGACATTCCAAAGTCCTAACACAGGATGAAAAGGATTCGGATGGGGGTTTAGATTTAGATGTTTGTTCTATAATTGTGGAATATACAGCAGAATGATAAATATGCTTCAAAACTGGGGATACCAGTTTATGTGCATTATTTGTGTCTTAAGATGTTACAATTCTTTCTCTTTCCCACTTTGCACATGACCTTGCATAAGAGGAGTGTGAGCCTTGACAGTTAACACAACAAGCTCAGATGTATGTAGTAATCCTTACCATTGTGTTTTGCACAGGCAAGGAGAACAATGACAAGAGATCTTTTAATGACCAAATTACTGGCAAGTGAAACATCTGAGTGGATTTGGGACACAAGAGAATTGAAATACTGCACATTGACATGGTATGGAGGCAAGGAGAAGAAAGATAAGAATAAGAAGACTTGGCTCGTATTTCTTATGAATAATAATCTGCCATAACCTCCTGATCATTCATCCTGGCAAGTATATCAGTCATGTCAATTACTCCATGGAGGAGTTCGTAGGAATCCTCTCAAAAACCATAAATGAAAAAAGTAGTTACTTTCCTTTGGTGTACTGGATCTTTCAACAAGAATAACTTCTTACTGGAGTTTTTTAACTAATAAAGGGGAGCCAGCAAGCTCACTAATCCTTTTTGGATAAAAAAAAGGGTCATATTTCACCTAAACTCTTGTCAGGTAACAGTGAAGGATGACAAAACAAGGCATAGGTGTTGCAGTAAATGAAGGACAGTTATCAGTTTGTAGTCCTTTCAAGTTTTCAATGGATGGGTTACGTTTTTATAGTAGACATAATATAAAAGATAAAATTTTCTGCCTGTTAACCCCACCCAGCAATGGTGTCTCACAAGGGGACGTACTACACTGTCAATAGCCACAACTGACCAGTGGATTGGACTAAGGGACCTATCCCAGGGCCTCCTGTCTACCAAATTCAGGGCCAAAGTAGTGTGGTACACTGAAATAGGCACCACTTAACTACCAGTATCCTATCCCTTCTTTCATGGGTTGCAATGCATAGCACAGCAAACACATGAGTAGAGGAGTTAAACTGCTCAGACAGAATCTTTCCTGTGGGGTCCTGTCACTACTTACAGGAATCTACAGCAAAGAAACTTGTATGAAAATGATTTTTTTAGCCTTTGTTATGATATAAGCACACAAGTGAAAATGTATAAATTTATCTGTTTTTTTATTTTTCATTACAGGGTTATATATATTTTAAGTATACCAAGTTAATTTCCCCCTTTACTCTACAAAAGGTTTGGCTTCCAGCAGTGTCTGATTCTGGAAATTACTGAATGTGCATTTCATTTTATGTAAAAGTAACAATGAAAAATTTGTCAAGAAAATTAGTAATTTTATTAAATATTAGTGTTTAATCCAGCTTTACATATATATATATTTGAAGTATTTGTGTTTCTGTTTCAGAATTTTTCAGTGCTCTGGATAAAAGCTGTGGACATTTAACCCTTCACAGCTCTTTCTCCGACCTTGTTCGTTATGTTCGAGCTGGACTTTACAGGCTAAAAGAAGGAAACTGAAACAAGCTGATATTTGAGTTCAGATCAAAGGCAAACCTGCAGTATCCCAAGAAATCATATACAACAATAAACTGTAAATCATCATCACATGTGAATTATAGTGATGAAGGTAATATGCTTCATCACAAAACATAATATTTTTGTCATGTCTATATTTCATGAATTGTAAACACTCCTTTCTTGGACAATAGTGCCTAGATTTGTGCACAGCACATTGATCTGTCCTTTATTACTTGACCAGTGTAGAGATTCAGTACAGAGTGGAGTTCACAATCATGAAAGAAGAGACTGACACATGAATTGATTTGAGGTTTTTATAGTAAGTAATTTATAAATATATTAATTGTGATTTTTAAGGTCAGTTCTAATATTTACTTGTTTAATTGTTTTGACATTGAGCTTTGAATTTAGCTAGCTGTTTCTAAGTCAGTGAATAGAGTGCACAAAGTATTTCTTAAGGTAATAAACTTCCTTATGCTTTGTAAAAAAAGCAAAAAAAAAAAGCTAGTTTCACAAGAAAAATGAATTCTTTTGCAACATATTGAGACAGCAATGTTTAACATTTGTAAGTATTGTAACACAATCAAAGTTTTTCGAAAACCCAATCAAAAAATAATAATGATAAAGTTGTTATAAGAAGAATCTGATTTTTCATATAATGCATACTTTAGAAGAGAGGTCTTTGAGAAGGCATCCCATGACAAATTTTCAAACTTATTTCCTCTTGTGACAAAACTAACTAAACTTATCAAGGTGAAGAATTTGTGTTGTTGTTGTTTGTACACTTTAGTGGAAAAACTGTGTTTGGTAATTAGTTTAGATAACAGCTTAAAGCCTGAAATTTTTTAATTATTAAATATATAACATTTATACATAACAGAAGTTTTGCTTGTAGTTTTCAGTAAAAAAAAATCATGCTTGTACAAATTGTGTTCAAAATGTTTCATAGTAATAATGTGAAATTTAAAAATACCTTTTAAAGTTTAGGCAGTTTTTAATTTAAGATTTTTAGAGAAAATTTATTTAATAATTTAAATTATGACTTGTTTACAAACTAATTGAAAACTTAGAAGATGGGTTTCTATAAGAAGTATTAAAGTTTATTGGCTAAGCTTAGGTTAAATAGCTGGAAGCTTATGTTGACAGCATCTTTTTGACTTTTAATAACAAAAGTCATTACTCTTGTACACTAACTTAGCTCAGAAGTTTCTTGTGTTCTTCTACATTTAGTGGGTTTAGAGTCCTGTTGAAAAGACTGGCAAGTTTGCTGTTGATATTTTGTAGAGTCTTAACTAGCTATTCTTGTTTGTAACAATAATAACAAATAGGGACTTTTAAGAATGTTCTACACTTGTATTGTTTTTAAATATCCAAAAATTTAAGATAAATATAATATACAACAAATAATGCCAAACAGTAATATTTTATAGTTTTATTTATTAGTTAATTATTTCTTATAAGATAATTTAGAGCTACAGAACTTTCAGAACGACTTGACTTACCATACATTCTGTGTAATAAGATGACAGACAACTATATGTACAGAAACAACTCTTAGAAAGAGCAGGGTTTAGGTTCCTAAGCTTTCTAATTTGGATAAAGTGCAAGGTATAGTTATAAGCACAAATAAATGCTTTACTTCAGAGGGGAAATTGAAGTGACTTGAAATTTACTTGCAGTTGTAATTAGATGCGTCACATTAGGATATAGATGTTTGCCAGACAGGGTAAAACACAATAAATTATACTGTTGTCCAATGCAAAATCTTAAAACTCAGTAGCATAGCAAGAACTTGTGTGACTGGTCAGTCTGTCCATTCTTCTGTGGTGAGCTACTTTTATACTTTTTTGTTCACAGAGAATTACTCTCTGTGGCTAGGATCAGCCATCTCCAGAGATGATAAGCAACAAATAATTTTGCTTAACTATTTTGATATGTGATTTAGACCTACCTTTCATTTCTCAGTAAAATTAATTGTTGCAAGTAAGTTGTGTAATCAAAGCTGAGGAAGCATTAGGATAGCAAATGTTAAATCATTCTGGACTTTTTTCATATTACATAAGACTCTGGAGATTGAAAGATAATAATTGACCCTCTATGTTTATAATTCTAGTGATTGATTGTAACTCAACTAACTAGTTATAAAGAAAAATGGAAGTTTAGGCATTCCTTATGCTGCTAGCTATTTCTGGCTTCACTTCTACAAATAATTACTGTAAATATGCTGAAAGCCATAGTTTTAAACATTTTTTAATGTTTGTGAAAGATGTTGTCATTGGAATATGATATAACGAATTGTTAATTTATTGAAATTAGAAAAAAAACATAAATATTGTAAAATGTTTGAAGTCATTGAAGGTGTAAATTATTTACAAAATAGCAGAACTTACTTCTATGTTGAAAATATGTTACATTTTATGAAACTGTTTGTTTTAAGGTACCCATGTAAAAGACTTGGTTTGATTTAGGGTTTGCACAAGGCATTTAATGCTATTTGCAATAACCAGGGTTTAAATGGTAAAATAATAATAATAATAAAAAATTGAATTTATATTATGAAATACAATTGCACATAAAAGGCTAAAATAAGATCAAAAGCATCACCATTTCCAATAAAAAATAAGTCTCAAACACTGCCACTGCCGAATCGTGAAGGAATTTCTATTTCCTTTTGGTTTGTAATTTTCAGAACCGTATACCATATGAGTGGGTTTAGCATTGAAAGGGTTATGGTCAAATCAGCTACACTACTTAAATTTAAATATGCAAACATTTATTACAAAGATTGTGATAAGAAACTGTTGAACATAATCGTATTTGCTTTTCTGTATCAATGTGTGGCTTCCTGAAATGTTCTAATAGAGAATTTTAAATTTTGTATGTGCAATTGTTGTTAGCTAGATGCATCAAATGTTTTTAAGGAGACTCGATCTCCCAAGTTAATGCTAAATGGTTTTATAACATGTATTTTACAAATTGCACAGTTAACATGATGACTATTCAGAAATGATATTACGAGAGATGATTCTTTGTAAAACAAAGAAGGCAGTATGAAATATCTAGATTGATTTGTTTGTTTTTCTAAAAAAGTTATAAATTATCTCTAATATGTTTTATTGATTTCTTGTTATTTGAAAGTCAGTCTTTGTGATAGATATCATTTTAAATTTTCCACAACTGTCAAAATGACTTATAATTTATTCTTCATAACTAACGTGTAAAATATCATTTTTTATAATGTAAGTTTATTTTGCACAATCATACAGGCTTTAATGCCCCCCCCCTCCTGTTTTTCCATCAGTAAGTTGAAATGTTTAATGTTACTACCTCCATGGAAAATGTTTTCAGTGTAGTATTGATACATTTATTTTCTGTAAATATATATATCAAAATCTCAAAAGGAATACAAAAATTATGCAATGAACAGATAAGCATTTTGAATAATTTAAATGATTAATCATAGAAAGTGGTATAATCTAAAAAGCCATGAAGCTTAAGATCAAGAAAAAATCAGTTCATTTCTGTAGGAAATCATAATGGAGTGTGGCTTAAGTAGATTATTAAGCAGTACAGCTGTATTTTACTTATGTATCTATAAAGTCAAATATAATGTACTTGGGCTTTCTTATCAGATGGAATAACTGAGATCTGGTAAGGTACCATATCACCAATACATTTATAACATTCTTTTAATGATGATCCTTACATATCTAACAAAAAAAAACAACACTTTTCATGCACTTTTACTATATATATATATACTCTTTTTTTTATTCATTTATGTTAACTTACTAGTTATGTATGAGTAGGTTTGATGAGCTCTGGTACTGGCCAAAAGGCCTAGTAGGCATTGAATATGGCAGATGTGGTGTCTTTAATATATGATAACGAGTTTTGTTTTCACTTATAATCTCTTAGAATTTTATAATTCAATAGAGAAAAAGTGACTTAAAATTTACAAGGGACCTGTTCGAAGCTGTAGCCCAGAGCTAAAACACGTTATTTTTGGAAGAAGTTCTTTGAAAATAATGAAATTATAGCACTACCTATTTATGAGCACAAGACATACAAATAATAGAATTAGCTATTCTAATTATAGAATTCTCTAAAATTTTAATATATAACTTTGATTTTCAGTGTCCTTACTTGAATTTAATATTTCTAATATTTGAATAATATATAATAGCTGACTGATTGCCATATTGTCTTCCTAAAAACAATCATAAAGTTAAATTTAACAAACACATTCACCCACCCACATGTTTGCTATGTTGATTGTAAAGTGAAATATAATTTGTATGACTGTACTTACAGTTTGTGCTTTGTTTACTGACTGATAATGGAAATTTTTAAAACATTCAAAAGATTGACAATTTCATGAGAGGTTTGTCTATAAAAACTAAATGTTTTGTTTCATAATTTTGTATGCATAGGTAAATGTTGAGAGATAAAATATATACCATAGTGAGATGTATTCACAAATTTTAAACATTAACAGCATTTGTTTTGTTTCCACATGCAGTTGGGACTGTTTAAAACAAATTCTGCTCTTTCCCATATTTTTGAATCAAAGTCTATCAAACTGTTGGATGTAAATATGATTAGTTGTGTGAATTAAGTAACATTTATGAAGAAATCTTGATCAAGAACAACGTTTTTACTCAGTGAAAATCAGAAAAGGTTTGTTGCCCATAGGAAAGTTTTTGATTTCTTGAGTTTCATGGTCGTTTGAAAGACAATATCTGTATATTTGTACACATGGTCATTTTTTTACTCTTACCAAAATAAAAACCTGATCAAAGAAACTGAGATACGTAGTTTTTTTTTCTATATTTCAGTTCTTACTGATTATACTGGGAAGGGTACCTTCAATGTTGGAAGTTTCCCATTAGGCAGTTCCAGATAAGATAATTTTTACAAAGTTTTATAACTCTTTTAATTCATTGATTTTGATTATGAATACATATTGAGGGATTTTTTTTTTTTTGTAAACTAATACTTTTACATTAAGCTGTGTATGTTTAGCAGTTCAGTAAAGACAACAAGGTCAATGGAGAACATGGGAAGAAGCCTTGCAAAAATCCCTGTCATGGAGTAACGTATGGCACAAGGCACCCCTGCAAATGAACTTTATTATCAGGTCCATCTATGACCAGTTGGAAACAGGTGCAAACCTGGTGAAATGGATCTGTCGACTGACACATAGTGTAGTCTGTGTGGAGGCATACAAACTCTTGATCATGCATTATAAGCCTGCAAAAAAAGCTTTAACAAGGGGCAGATATACATGGAGACATAATCAATTGCTCAAAAAGTCAACAATAGCAGTGGATCTCGTACAGTGTAGAGCCAATAGAAAGAAGGCAACTACAAAACAGTTTACTTTCTCAGAGAAGGCACCAGACAGAGTGATTTGAGGAAGCCCCAGACATTGCTGACAAGTGGAATACTTGACATTGCAAATGATTGGGAGATAGCATTTGGTCTTTAAGATATGAGAGAATACCTAAAAGTAGTTGTATAAACTGGACCTAACTTGATCCTCTTATCTACAACAGCAGGACAGTAATAGTAATCAAGCTGACAGTGTACTATGAGTCAAGAATTAGTGAAGATCATGAGTACAATCTGGCAAGGTAGGATGAACTCATGAAGGAAATCTGGTGCCAGGACTACAGCACACGACTGTTCTTTGTGGAAGTGGGAGTAATAGGGTTACCTGATGCACCTGTTTACAGCTTGGACTTTCATGTCAGAGGAGATCAAAGACTTTCAAAGAATTGGCAGAAACAGCAGAGAAGGCCTCATATTGGTTATGGGCAAAGAGAAATGACGAAAACTGGAGAGTAGTGTTACGAGGAATAAAAATCCTCTAAATTCTAGTGTGACTTGTGACTGAGAGTTTCAGAGCATGGGCAGGAATGGTTCCAAATGTCTAGCAACTCATAGGATCAGGGTTCACATCCCATTACAAGAATACACATCAGCAAGGGAGCACTTGGCTGATTTCTGAGTGTGGCCTGACTCTTCTAGATTGTAAGGAACTTAAGGGACGAAACACTTGATTGAAGGGGGCACTCTTCCTCTGAATTGTCATTATGAGTGTCTGTTCTATTTACAATAAGTTATGTATGTCTAATACACAAACTGGTGATGATATTTAAAGGTTAACTAGCTATAAAATTATTAAATACTCCATAAAACATTCTTTATGTACCACAAATTTTTTAAAGGCAATACATATTATGTACGACAAAATCATATTCATTCATATACTTTACACCTGTGGTATTCTTAGGTACAGTGATTATAACCACTTTAATAACAAGTTGAGCAGATAGTGTACTGCAGAGTGAACCCTCAAACTGAGTTTATACCAT